CGCGCGGACTCACAAGAGGTCCAACCACCAGTATAAAAATCATCTAATATGTTTAGTGCTAAAGGTACATAATTTCTATTGGTGGGGCATTTTGTGAGTCTGCACGTGTAGGCTATAGGACCTGTTTCTGCTTTGAAGCAATTATGAATTTCGATTTGAAGAGTGAAGCCGTCGACCTGTAAAACTGAAACTAAAAAATTTTCAATTTAATATAAAACGTATATTTTTTTTATTGCTTAAATGGTTAGACGAGCTCACAGCCCATCTGGTATTAAGTGGCTACTCGAGCCCATAGACATCTACAACGTAAATGTACCAACTACCTTGAAATATAAGTTCTAAGGTCTCAATATAGTTACAACGGTTGCCCCACCCTTCAAACCGAAACGCATTACTGCCTCACGGTAGAAATAAGCAGGGCGGCGGTACCTAACCGTGCAGACTCAAGAGGTCCTACCACCAGTAATAAAAGTGTAATAAATACATTAAGTGTAATAAATAAATAAAAACTCGTGTAGATTATTGGCCGTATTACGTTGTAGATATCTATAGGTTCTGATAACCACATAACGCTAAGTGAGCTCGTCCATAAGTCTAAGCAATAAAAAAAGTTTATATTTTAGTATTACGTACTTGTACAGAGAGAAAATTCAAATTCAAAATCAAAACGAAAGTCCTAAACGCAATCAATAATAAAACACTTGAGTAGCAAAACTATTCAAAAGAGATCCCGAGGCAACGCCAAGCGAACAGCTATCATTAATTCAGGAAGCATCAGCGAATGACCCAGTGGGGTTTGCTTTGTGAACTCCAAATATTGCTGAGCCCGAATGCTGCCTTAATTACCTCCAGCCGCGAACTGAAAAATCTTCGCTTTCACAGTCCGCCATGGATTTATTTGCTGGAAACATTTTGCTGACTTGATGGAGCTTTTGAAGTGCTTCGACTAAAATTTATTGAAATGTTTGTTTCTGTTTTCGCTTGAACAATTCATAAGTAGTTTGTTGTGCTAAATAGAAAATTTGTAGCCGTATACATGACATTCCCAGATTTTTTTACAATGATATTTTTTTTTGTTGATTAATGTCGCTAGATAAAATAACTTATCTTGAATTAATTTATTTTATGATCCTTAACATAGCGGCTTTGCTATTTCCTCTAAAATTACATAGTGCTAATCAATATTCCGCTTTTCAGACTTTGCAAAGGGAGTAAGCGGCTCAAATTTTTATTACGGTTATTAATATATTAATATATTTATTGTTTCTGTTTTCTGAAAAGATGTTCAATAGAGATAATTTTTTATTTTTTTTTATTGCTTATGTGGGTGGACTAGCCCACCTGGTGTAAGTGGTTACTGGAGGCCATAGACATCTACAACGTAAACGCGCCACCCACCTTGAGATATAAGTTTTAAAGACTCAGTATTTAAGTAGTTACAACGGCTGCCCCACCGTTCAAACCGAAAGGCATTACTGCTTCACGGCAGAAATAGGCAGGGTGGTGGTACGTACCCGCGCGGACTCACAAGAGGTCCTACCGCCAGTAAGTATCCGTAATTTGTCCGTATGTATCCGTAATTTATAATTTAATTCACTAAGCGAAGGGTTAGAATCGATCCCGCATCACATCTAATAAAGCAAACAACTTAAAAAATCATGTACGTGCATATGAAAGCAGCACGACCTAATTAAAAGATTATATCGAAGGCCGATTTGGGTGAGGTCGTTCCGACCCGTTGAAATTATCGAGTGGCTGCAGAGTCAACACACATAATTGAATCGGCTTGAATAGTGAACGATAAAACTGGACTTTACCTCTATAGGGTTACCAAGTAGAAGGAAAAAACATCGTTTGCAGATGGCCCTACAGTGAAGTCGGTTAAGCACAGTCTTAAGTAAATGTCACTTCATTTATAACATAAATAGTTCTCTTGCAACTTTTCTTTTTCGTTTCGAATCGACTTTGTGGGCGTTTGAAAACGAATTCAATCATGGAGAAGTAGGCAACGCGTTTGCCTTCGCACGCTTCAAGGATACGAATATAAAAGGATTTTTTACTTGTTCCTTTTTACGAGATGAAAGAGGTAAATACAATTTGGCATTTCCGAAAACCATAAACTATGTGTCACAGTTTCTGTGACATTGACGTTAGGTACCTCGTGTTGTTATTGCTTTTTGTTTTAAATAAAATGTTAATATTAGACTACACAGCTATATTATTGATTTCCATGAATATTATACAAATGGTATCCATTTTATTTTTATTGCTGCCTATTTTCGATGTTATTACTCTCTCGAAATACATCAAGCAATACAAGGAAATTTTACGAGACAGGCCGCTCTTCAGAACTTTTACCGTAATTTATTGTACGATTATTGCTGTGTATGGAATTTTAGGCCCAACAAGGACGTTGAATAAATACAAAATGCCAAAATTTGTGAAGGACAATGAAACGCCCGAACAAAAAGTTTTACGTATCATTGATTCTACAAACGCTATCAGAAACTACTTACTGTCTGGATTTTCCCTTTGTTTTGTGCTTGTTATTTGGAGGTCGCTTGATTTAATTATATTTTCAGCTAAACTTCATGAGCTGTACGATTTGATGAGAAATTACGATTTAATCGATATCACATTAATGACCGAAGTTGAGGAAAAGCGTGACAATGAATCATGTTTGATTGATGAAACAATATATGAAGATGATAACGTACACTGGCCTTCTATTATAGAACTAAACAAAACAGAGTACAACAGAATACAAGCCTTTCTAAGAGACACTGCTAAAAAACCTGAGGCAGGTAACAAAGTTACAAAAGACACAGAGGAACCTCAACCTCAAAATGTAGAACATAAAAATCAACATTGTGAGTGCAACAACTAAAAGATTATAAGACTATATAATACCAAGAAGAAAATCGTAATCAAAGAAAAGAACTTCAAAGTAAAAACAAAAAAAAATGATAAACATATTCAGTATTTTTGTAGGGACCTTAATATTCTTTGAAGTGGCATTTATATTGGCGTTATTAAAGCCATTTAAAGAGCCGTATTTTATAAGAGACTTCTGGTGCAACATTCAAGAAAATTCAAACAATGCTTCAAAAGCAGCTGTTGTGCTATTACTTTTTATGATGTTCAATACGTTATTGGAAATTTTCTCTGAGAAAAAATACTACGATAGCTTATTAAATCGAATCAAAGACGAGAGATTGATATTAAATTTTTATTTAAGCAAAATGACCGTGAGCTACATTTGCTTGTTTATGAGCTTTTATTTATTGATTTTAATCGAAAGATTAACTCATTTTTTTATTACTATCGCCCGATTATTGGAATTTGAGCTGATGTGTCGTCATGCGATATTGACTCGAGAAAGTGCGCAGGAATCATCGAGTTCGACTATATTAACGACGAAAGATGATCTTTGAGTAACTGTAACGTTTTGTAAAATTCCTCTTCATTCGGCAACGCGAAAGCACTTACATTCGTACCTTTTTGCATATTGTAACCGACTTGATGTTCCCATATGTTTATATTTTTCCAAAAATATCTTAATTTTGATACCGTTTTTTCTAAATTTGATTAAGATGTGAATAAGATCTTAAATTGTGTTTTTGCTGCTTATAAATCTTAACAAGGCGGGTGTTTGTCTTTACCAATTAAATTGATACCTAACGTCAATATAGACGTAGTTTAATTTAAATAAAATAATAATAAATACTTGATCTTTCATTTTAAAACTAGTTTTAAACGCATCTTTTTTTCTCCGTGCTTCCATTTTTCCATTACTGTAAGGGTCATCCTACTAGTTCTACGCCCAATCGCCCAATATATATATATATATATACCCGGCAGGCTGGTTCTGGTCCATCGGGGTATTCCGGGACACTAGTTTGGGGGGCCAAACGGCTGTCATACCGGGACGCCGACGTTTGCTAACCTTCGATTCGCCTCGAAGGCTTCGTCGGCCGGGCTTGGGAGCTGGCATGGGGTGAGCTGCGCTATCTGGTTGTAGTGTTGACTGCAGTACCCCCCTTACTCATCCGGGTTCTAACCTCGGAGGGGATCGGACGCTTGGGCGAAGGTTACAGGAGAGTCGTTTAGTGGGTAGGGTCCTAAAATTCCTTGGACCCGCGGTTCGCAGTCGCGGGCTAGTCCCACGTACATCGTGCGACCCCTAGTCACGAGGACCTGGAAGGAGGTTTGGCCCCCGGCCCGAAAAAAAATACGAAAAACGTGTGGCAAATTTGCGATTTTCTAAAAACTAACGTCAAAACTACAATTTTTCTTCTAATGATCTATGTTTGGATGTATACTCGATATCTCAGTGTATTTTTCAATTAAACAACGAATGTATGCAGTAAAGAGCTTAGTCAGCTTACTAACTTATTCAGAAAACAGCCGTTTCTAGATGAGAGTATCAGGAAACAAACATTCTGAGCTACTGTTAGTATTTTACGAGTTTTGCCATTCGAAGAACGATTCCTAATTTATTCTTCATTAATTCTATTTATTATTTGATTAAACAAAAGGCGAAATTAACCCTGGAATTTTTTTTAGCAAGGAGCTGAATCTACTAGTAGAAGATGCCTGCCGATGAGTAAAGCTATTTATGTGATTTTTAGCCTATTATATATTGTAAGGCGAAATAGTTATATAAATCTCTCACATGTGATAAAATGACAAGCAATAGTCTCGCCAATTTCCAATAAATGATAAACTTCCTGTTTATAAATTAATCCCAAATTTAACATTTCGAAGTAAGACGTAATTTTAAATTACAGTACTGGAATTTTTTAGTAAATAGCTCGAATACAAACTCAAGATATATTCATTTTGAATTTTAAAAAAAACGTCAAAATTTTCTTCTCTACACTCATGTCAGTGACTACTTCACGTCATGTCAGTGTCAATATAATTTAATAATTTTCAAAATGTAGAAATTTTCATCAAAAATAAAACTAATAATGCCCTAATATGAAAGATAATAAAGAATGGACCCCAGCTGCATCATTCTTAGTTGCATTCTGTTCCTACAAATGATCCTGTTGTTGGGTATGCTAAATCCTATTTACGATGTCCGAGTCGTCACCTACAATATCAACTGTTTCACTAAATATTTTAAAAAGTACTACATAATGGGAATTTTCGCTTATTTTGCTACTATCATCTACCATGGCATGTACATTCCTCTTCAGAACATCATACGGCTGATATTTTCTAAAAACATTTACGAGGTCGAAAAACTAATCTTGCTGAGTCGTGTCGAAAAGAATTATATAATTGCTGGGTTCTCTCTGTTCTTATTGGTCGTAACTTTCGCGGTAAAAGCTTTGCTTTCGTACACGGCAAGTCTGGCTGAAATATGCAGAAGGAGCGAACCTTTGGTGCTCTCTCCGGGGTCGATGAAAGAGAAAAAAATGATTTCAAACGAAAACATACTAGCCAATTTGCTACGCGTCAAAAGGTCTATTTCGTATGAGACTATTATGTTTGCGAACGACATGAGAGAACAATTTAAGACTATGATCAAGAGCATGGATACGCCGCAGAGTCAAGAGCCCCTTTCTAGTATCGTGGAGTCTACGAATGGTTACGTACTATGATTGACGAGTAACTTTTCCCAATAAAACTTATTGTTTTCCAATTTATATTCTTTCTTGAGCAGTGTTTCTTTGCGAAAATATTGGATAGCGCGACGGCAAGTATTTGGGAATTCTTGAGAATTACACAGGGGCGATGCGGTGAGAAATATAGGAAAAGACGATAAAAATAAAACTCGACTACACAAGCAAAGGGGAAGAAAAATGTCGAATAGGAATGCCTGGAGTTCGAGAAAAGGGAACGTGTATACATTAGAAGCCTGAAATGTTTTCTGTTGAATTGACTATAACATTAGATGTGCTTGTAAAGGAACGTACAATAGAATGATTATTGCATACAAATACAATACAAAGTTACTTTGTACGAATATGTAGTTTGGATAATGTCTGTTGTGAGCATTTTACATTCAATCTTTTAACGTGAATTGAATATATCAGGCCAAATGACTCGTTTCAACAATTTTATATTGTAACAAGTGAAATAAATATTACAAAAGTAAAGTCAGTAATTTCAAGCATTTGATATTGAGTTTTATTTATTGAAACGTTGTTTAACATTAATGAATTTGACACTATTGTTTTTAACAGATAAATACATAATCAATTCTACAAAACTTGCAAACGTCTCGTCATGTCCTATGCAAGTGTAATGCTTGCTCACGTGATCCGCATGAACATAAACCCTCTTCAGCTCATCAAAGCCGTTGCTGCAGGATAGCCGTAGGAGCACTGTGGTACGTGAGCGACGTCGATCTTCACGACGACTTAAACATAGAACCGATACGTATGTATACATTAAAAAAATAATCAGAATGCTACTTTGAAAGAGCGGTGCGCCACGATAACCCTCTAATCATGGCCGCTAATTAAACATCCATCCGACGGAACATCGCAAAGCCACCATCGCCCGAAATATGTCTTGTAGGACCCCCGAATCCACTCTCGGTGCTTTTTGATTATTGAAGCACCGGTCACCATCCTCGTCAAACTCATCGACGGATAGTTTGACAAGCGAACTAATCCATAGACGCAGAACACTGACTTTCGCACCGGATCTTCTCGAGTGTCGAGTCGAGTGAAAAAAATACCACGTTAAATGTTGTATGTCAATAGCATTGAATTTTTAAGATGAAAATAGTTTAAAGAGTCACAATGCCTTGAAACTTTTACACAGTGCAAAAGCTACCGGAGAAGTGGTATGTGTTTTACTGCGTCCAGTAACAGGAATTAATAGCTTGAATTCCTGAGCTACGTAAGGGTTTTCTGGATGAGGGATTTTCGAATTTTATTACTATGCCTATGTAGAAAGAGGATCGGAGTTTATAAGGCGATTTGTGCGCCTCAGTTCCATCTATCTTGAAAGTCAAATTCAGACACCGGATTAGGACTAAGGAAATCAGTTTTTTCAGACCAAATCAAGTTCCATAATATGATAAGAATATTAATTAGATTTTTCTACAATAAAAAATGGTGTACGTACGTACTAATGGGATTTTTCTTATTATTGCTTAGGTGGGTGGACGAGCTCACGACCTACCTGGTGTTAAGTGGTTACCGGGGCCTATAAACATCTGCAACGTAAATGCCGCCACCCACCTTGAGATATGAGTTCTAAGGTCTCAGTATATTTACAAAGGCTGCCCCGCTCTTCAAACCGAAACGCATTACTGCTTCACTCACAAGAGGTCCTACCACCAGTAATTACGCAAATTATAATATTGCGTGTTTAGTTTTGATTACACGGTGTTATTCCTTTACCGTGGAACTCAATCGTGAACATTTGTTAAGTACGTATTTCATTAGAAAAATTGGTACCCGCCGACGGGATTTGAACACCGGTGCATCGCTAGATACAAATGCACCGGACGTCTTATCCTTTAGGCCACGACGACTTGAAAATATACTGAGATTTTTGTTTGCAATACCATCATAAACCTAATGTTTATTAATATTAATTATCATTATTATTAATATTACTAGCTCATGATTCATTAGTCGTCAATTGTTACAGTTTCTTTTTATTCATTGGGATTAATCTTAAGCCGTACCCATAATTTAGACTGTAAACATTTCTCAATTTATCCATCCGTCTACCTCTACGGTACGTCTAGCCTCGACCTGCCCTTCTTTTTTGTTCACCTTTTGGCGATAATCGCCCTCGCAGAAATCTATCAAAATATAGAATCAGCGCATCGCCGTGGTGATAATTTGTAAAGATATAGTTTTTTCCCACTAAGTTGGGCCATCACTTGCCTTGAGACACGAGGTCGAAAACTTATAATATTACTAGCTGTACCCGTCCGCTTCGCTGGGCATTTATAATTAACATTATTATTTCTCACCCCCACAAAGATTATCATCATTAACGCCCCCGCAACTGGTATAGGGAGTCCAACACTCATATAAATATTAGCCTATCCATTAAGTACATGTATTTTCTACACAGATACCAAGTTTCAAGTCAACCGAATGCTTGGTTCAGTAGTTATAATGGAACATCCGTAAAACCCACTGTAGATTTATATATTAGTATAGATAACTGCTATCCTACCCTTCGAACTGAAATACATTCTTCACTTATAATATGCTTTTTTATTGCCTTTATGGGCAGACGAGCATACAGCTCATCAGCTGATGTTACCATCCGGTGGTTACCGTCGCTTATGGACGCCAGCAATGCTAGCCGAGTCGTTGCCTACCATAAAATATTGAGCTGAAGACAGATGCATCTAGATTAACTTAATTAATCTAAAACACTGCAAAAGTCTGTTTAAATTATGTAGGTTTTAATATACAGAAGAAGTGTTGACCCCACACTCGACCCACTTCATAAGTCAAAGCGGTTTTGCGCAAACATAAACACATAGCAGGCATACACACAAGGCAATTACCTCTATCGAGTATACAGCATGAGATTTATTTTATCTCGTGATATCTTCGTAAGGACCCTTCCGTTGGTCGGCGTGCGAACCAAATAGGAACCGCGAACGCGTGTTTGAGTGGGTCCCAATTATTGAGTGAAAGCGTTTGAATTAATGTTTTTTTTTATTGCTTAGATGGGTGGACGAGCTCGCAGCCCACCTGGTGTTAAGTGGTTACTGGAGCCCATAGACATCTACAACGTAAATGTGCCACCCACCTTGAGATATAAGTTCTAAAGTCTCAGTATAGTTACAACGGCTACCCCACCCTTCGAACCGAAACGCATTACTGCTTCACGGCGGAAATAGGAGGAGTGGTGGTACCTACCCGTGCGGACTCCCAAAAGGCCCTACCACCAGTGACTACGCAAATTATAATTTTGTGAAGATTTATTTGTGAAGAGTGGTACTACGAAATGTATCGTGATTTTTTCTTTTAATCCGCTTTCAGACTACGCTGTAATATAATAGCATACAGTATATAGCTCATAGCAGAACGATATCGTGCACCATACATTGTTAAAGACACGTTCACACTGTACTGTACTATGTATTATTGGCTAAGTATAGGCTGCTATAATATATGGCAGTATAGTATGGCGTAGTCTGAAAGCAGCTTTAGTCTAGGAATTCGATCATGTCAGAAGATTATCATATCAGATGATGCTTCATACTTTAATACTATTCCAACCTTTGCATCCGCAACTTATATTGCTATTATATTACAAGTTGCTTTATTTTCTAATTAACCCCATACTGATTCTTACTTGATGCGTGAATGTATCATACCTAATGCTCCTTAGATAGTTCGTTTGGTGAGCAAAATTATTATTAGAATGAAAGTAATCTATACTGTCACAACCTTAACCATGAACAATTACGACTCTAAGTAACTTACCTAAAACAACATAAGAAAAATTAAGCAAATCCCATCAAGCTAAGTATCTAGATCCAAGTAAAACTGCTAATACATTTCTGTTAAAATTTTCTCCATAGCAAATTACGCAAATATGAATGCTATATTATAAAAAGTCCATAATTTCAGATCCATTTCGCTTTTTCCAGTAACTTAAGCCAACCGAACTCGAGCTCTTTTCTCGATAAAACTCAGATATATTCTTTTCAAAGGAAATCCTTTGATCTGACCGACCGTAATACTACGCACACACACGTACATTGTCTAGCTGTTATTTTATATAAGAATGATTTATTTCATCGACTCCTGCCTATTCAAGCATTGATACATCATAATAACAGAGCTCTTCAACTTGTGATAAAGTTTTACTAACGTCTGTTTTAATCTATTGCATAGCTTTTATCGCGGGCTTCGAGCGCGGCAACCGAATCAAGAAATTCCGTAACGAAAATAAAACCTAATACCCCCCACTCCGCCTATCATGTAGCTCGCGTTCAATACATTCACACGTTGCGCTTGTGTAATGTTTGTGAATAAGCGCGCGACGTGACGTCGCACTGCATGCGCATCATGAAAAGTCTGCCCATCTCTCTCTCGCGCGGTCTAGCTTATGAATGTGAAGGGGACAGTTAATGTTTTGCTTTTGTTAATGTTTATAAATATAGCGTGGTCACATTTTATTATTGTTCTAATATTAAATTATAATTGCGTAAGTTGATAAAAAATGCTATGCAATAGCGTTACCGCGGCAGTCCCCGAGTGCCACGTGTTTTTTATATGCTTTTCAATTGTTGAAATAAAATAAAATTAAACAATCGTGCCTTTTTTATTATTTATTCGCAATCCGCACGGAAAATGGAAGACCTTGGTGTTAAAACGTTATTTGCGCCAAATAAATCATAACACATATGAAGCCATCTTCCATTACTGGCATCTATATGTCTTAACAAGTCTTCTTTTTTCAAGTATACTAACATAAGCATAATAATAATAGAAATGAAATACTAATTAAGACAAGAAGAATGTATGAAAGTAAAAAAAATAAAATTAGGATATTTGAAATCTTCAAACACAGCTTTATTTTATTTTCATAATTTACAGAAAGTATAAATAATTAGATAGTTAGGTACAGATTGCTATTAGAAAGTACATGGAAAGCAATTTTT